TATATATATATATATATATATATATATATATATTTATACTTAAGTTTAGATGTGGTATATATAAATAGATATGTTTTGAGTGCATGTTATGTAAAAACCTCAACAAGAATTCAATAAATTTCCATCATTTAAGGAACCTGATCTGTCCCCCTACTAACACTTTCTCGCCCACAGGCTCCACCGGAAATGCGACAACTTTTTCGCAACGAGCTGCAAAGAGTTGGAGTCGAAGGTGCCAAAGTTCTGCGCGAGCTGGGAAACAAAGTCAAATCAATGACGAAACTAACCTCCACAGATATCCTTCTGGATATCCATGAAGCAGCCGAGGAATTGCAGAAGAAGATCGATCGAAGATCTTACCTTCTTGTCAATGCAGAGCTATGGGAGATCGGCAAGCGGCACGAAGGACCAGAAGAAGATATCGAAGGCACCGGCATCACGGAAGGAAGACACAAACCTCTAGTATTCAAATCCCAGAGTGAAGCTATTCTTGATCTCAGATCCCTCCATATCTCAAAAAGCTGGGATGTTCATAACAACACAGGATATATTCCTCCTCAAGTTCCAACTGTCCCCCCTGAAGCACTGCTCAAACAGCAGATTTCATGGCCCGCTCGATCCTTAAACGTCGACGACGTCGTCCACGAAGAGGAGTCGAGGACTTATGAGAGTGCGAGTGCTTTGTCGCTCGCCACTTTTGCTTCTCTTTTGATCGAGTTTGTCGCAAGGCTCCAGAATTTAGTAAATGCTTTTGAGGAGTTGAGTGAGAAGGCTAAGTTCAAGGAGCCGCCCGTAGAGGAACCAACTGGACATTCTGCTTCAGGTTTGTGGAGCAGAATTAAGAAGTTTTTTTGTTTTTAAGGTATATATGTAATTTAATGGAGTGGATTGAAAAGAAAATAGAAATTGTGGGTATTGTTGTAAAATAAGAGGCCTGCCCGCCTGAAGTGTCATGGATGTGCAGGACTTTGAGTGGAATGTGAGTGCTGGTTTATTGTAGTGTTTCAGGTTAGATTTTGAGGTATTTATATATCAACCATCCAAAACTTTAAATATAACAATTGATCACCCAAATTTAAAATTTTACATTTATACCACCAAAATTAAATTTTAGGTGGTTGAAATGTACATTTTAAATTTTGATGGCCAAAATATTATTTTTAAAATTTTAGGTGACTGATATGTAAAATCTTCTTATTTCACCCTTTACCATTTCTCTGTATAGCTATGTTTGGAACAGTTATGTATATATATATTTTGTTTATTGTATTGTGTAACATATATAGGGGCATTTGTATGCATGCCACACAACTCTTATATATTTATATATCTAGCACTTAAAACTTCCATATTTACTAGTATGGTACCCAAATTTTTTATTAAAACATCAAAAATATCACCACTGCCTAAGTTTTAAAAGTAAAATATACTTGTTTCATGCATTGATTTATGATATAAAATCATTATAAACCTAGATATAAATTTGCAGATGTTAGATTTGTAAATAATAAGAGGTATGAGATATATAGGTAATTTTTCCAATGATAGGGATTCTGTTATGATTTATTTGCATGCAAGATATTTGATTGATCCAACTAAAGAGAAGCTAAACTCCTTGAAAAAATAACATATTATAAAATGTATTTATAGTCTCTGTTAACTGAATATTTCAACACTTTCTAAACCAAAAAACATGTGCATGTGCATGGTATTCAATTTTTGATTTATATACTTATAATGGCATGCCAAATATATGTATTTTTATGATTTCTTACCTTTTAGGGATTGGTTTTTATTTGAGATGCCATTTTGTTCAAGTAGCATGTCATTTATTTTCTCACCTATTCATTTTAATTTGTCAGAAACTTCAAAAAATAAATATTTTTCATTTTTGAGATCAAAATTTATAAAGTGAACATTCGTATTTACATATATATCACTAGGGCTGTCAAAACGGCTGGTTGTTCGCGAATAGCTTGTGTTCGATTCGTCTGCTAAGCAAATAAGCCGAACACGAACAAAATTTTTTTTTTTTTTGCGCTTGATATGTAAACGAGCCGAACATAAAAAATATTTTGTTCGTTCATGTTTGGCTCGTTTTGACTCGAAATAATTAATGAGTATTTATTTTAAATAATTTAATTGGCTACAAGGCTACAAAGATTTATAATCATTTAGAATTATTAATTAAAAAATAAAGTAAGTATATTCTAAATTACATTTAAATGAATATCGTAATTTAAACAATAAGATTTAAATTTGGCACTTACATCTAACATCGTAAGATTACGTGACCAAGGTTATCAAAAGGAATTGTTGTTCGTGAACAGCTTGTGTTCGGCTCATTAAGCGAACAAGCCAAACAAGAATAAATTTTTTGAGCTCAATATATAAACAATCAAACACGAACAATTGTATTTTTTAACGAGCTGAACACGAACAAAGTTTGAGCTCGCTAAAGCTCGGCTCGTTTACACCCCTATATATCACTAAAATTCTTGACATCATCATCATCTTTTCAAAAGTGAAAAACATCTTTTAATGAATAGATTTATGACACCAAGATGTTGTAAGTGCAAATATCAAATTTTTGGTGTTGGATTCAGCAAAGACATAAGAATTGTGTGGTATATATGTAAATTTTCCATTTTATAAGCAGCTCTGCTGAATTATTTTCTGTTTTTAATCATATTCAATGAAGAAAATTATAATAAAGGATTCATATACGCTAACAAAATAACTTAAAAGGGGTTGATTTAAGGATCATTTGAACAGTATTATTGATAAATGTGTAATAATGATAACATGACTTGATAAAGTGGATCAATGTTAGCAATGACTCTTAGACTCGATTTGAAATGGGCATAGATCAATAACTCTTAACAAAATTGTAGAAAATTTGAGGCCATTTAAGAGGTCAGATGCCCTCCAAATTTTATAAGATCATAGTTGAAGGGGAGCACTCAATGAGATGATTCCAAAAAGTAAATTGCCCAATTTGGAGTTCATTAAATCATTGAGATGCTTAAAAGACTTAAGAGAACATTGGGGGCTCTCTCATTTCATCCAACAGAGTACCCACAATTCTTATAATAATTCTCCAAGAAGCCTATGCTTTATTGATGTACACCAAGGGTGATTTTACGTGTAGCAAAATCTATGATTTGATAGTTCAAGCATTTTATCCTTTCATAAGATAGTTGTACAATGACACCAACGCTACTAATACCTCGACACCAAACTCCATAAACGTAATGCTCACCATGTTCTTAAACTTATCATTGGCTATCCTCCAATATTGATAATTAGCATCCCACTTGCTTTTATCTAACTGATGTCCTAAATTGCCAGATGTTAGCCATACAATCGACATTAATGTATTTTGTCACCCTCAATAAATTGACAATAATTACTTGATGCTTAACATTTGCTAGCCACTAACATTTGAACCCCACGAGCTATATGCTTATCACTGAACATCATGTATTCTTCTCATTATTGTTTGGTGTTTCCCGTGACCAACATTTGGAGTTTGACTCTCATCTTTATAGTTGTTTAATCGTCGATCATATCAAAAGTATGATTATGTTATCAACTATGAATTGGCGTCCAACATTTATATCAATATCATCCAATCTTCACTATGTCGTACCCTCACCGTCCTAAGTGTAGAAAGGTAGATAATATCATGTCAACTGGGTTCATGCGATCAAGGCAGGTCTTCACATAATCCTCATTGATGCGTCTCGTGCATCGACTATCACCTAAAGCACATCCTTTCATCTCAAAATATTTGCATAAGACTCAGACTTCACGATGATTATCACCCAATGCCCTTTCTTATATTCTAAAACATCTACAAAAGGTTCAAAACATTGAGGTTGAAAAGGAAATACCATGGTTCATTACTCAGCCAGAACCCAAATTTTGTGTATTGCCGTCCAAACAAATGATGTTAGAGAAAACACCTCATCTCGACCCCTTCACCTGCTTTAGAAATGGAATCACAAACTCGGGATACAATAAAACCTGAAGCTGAGTACATCTTAAAAGAGAAAATTGAAGAAGGGAACATTAATGAAGTTAAATCTTCTTAGATCAAGATTGTTTTATGGAAGGAATTCATGAGATCAATGAAATTGATACTAACAAAAAGCCCAATTATGTTCCAAATAATCTAAAGCATATTATAGGTTGGTCAATAGATAAAGTGATGAAAGAATTGTAAGCCACTATCAAGTAGTTTATAAAGGAAGAAGAAGAGGCCTAAGAGAATCCTAAAGAGGATATGTCACCAGAAATTTTGTCAGGAAAAAGTGCTAGCATCATAACTGTTTAAACTCGATGTTCTATAAAGAAAATACATGATAATGATTCCCAAGATGTTATGGTTAAGGAGGGTATAACACCAGACATAACCCAACATCTTTTGAATCAATTAATTTTGAGATGAAAAAATAGAGAGACTAAAGTAAAGAATGGAAGAAATACTAGTTTCAATGCCTATAGTCCAAAATCACACTCCAACTCCAACACAAATGATATGTAAGTGGAGAAACTCAAAGATGTACATGTGATTGAGAACTCAAAGATAATGATGGCTGGGGTTGAAGTCTCAAAGAAGAATTCATAATCTCTTAGAAAGAGATAAAATCCATGGTTGAAAAAGAAGTTAAAAGGGTCTCTAGCTCAAGCTCAAGGTGATTCATCACTACCTAAAGGAAGACCTTATTCTAAAGAATTTGATGAGATGCAATATTCTAAAGAGTTTTTACCAATAACCATTAAGGTATTTGATGGAACTAGTAACCCAAGACATCACTTAACATTTTTTCATGCAAGTTTTTATAATGTAGGAAGAAGTGATGCCTTACTCTTCCATATGTTTATTAACAGTCTATCTGAGGTATTGATCCCAACTGTTTATATGCAATAGTATAACAATGTCTCTGATTATATTTTCATATATATTTCCTTACTTTGCAAAAGAGTCAAAACTTGATCAAGAAGAAAATAAGAATTAAACTTTTCAATTTATATATATAGATACTACACAAGTATACATATCGTTATCAAGTAATATATTACTTTTTGATTAAGACCTGAATATCGAACCCACAAAAAAATTCTGCAATATACACTAATGAACAACAAACTTTTTTTGAAAATATCTTTCTCTGTATCATGAATCAATAATAAGCATAGGAATTCTATTGTGGAAGTATGCAAATTGTGTCATGCTAAATAGGAGCAATTATATTCCTTACCCTCCTTTTCAATTGTTGACTGAGACAATCCAACCCGGTTCTGACATGTTCTCACAACAAATTTTAACATATGGATATGTCAAATCAACAAGTAAATGAAGTACATGGAATTGAATCAACACAACTTCTTCCAACATTAAAGATTAATACGCTCCACATCTTCCATCCAACACTTTAATTGCTTATGCTTTTAAGAAGAAAGATAAAGAAAACTACTCAAAATCCATGAAGAAAACGAAACCACACTATAGTTTAAAAGTAGAAATCATTGTCGAACCAATAAGAAGTCTCGATTAAAACCAAGTCTCGATTAAAACCAAAAGACCAAAAGTAGTTTAAAAACAAAAGATAAAAATTTATCTCAAATCCTCCACCAAACTATTGAAGTTCCTGTGAATCTCTATCTTTTACAACACTCTTAACTCTAAAAAAAAAACTAAAAACCAAAAGGATAGAATAATTTTTTTTGTGGTGTCTGAAAATCTCTCCCTTTTTAAGCACTTTTCAGGACTTCAAGCACCCCTTTCAAATGTCTCAACTTCCTTCTTTTATAAATTTCCCAAGAGGTTCCTTGGAAACTCTTCAAAATGTGTCCAAATTCGATGTATTCTCCAAGGGATGCCTCCTTTCGCAAGTCTTTTAATAATATTTTCATTCCTAGTGGTCATAACCACCCTTTTTACCGAATAGGTGCCT